AAGAGTATAAACCGCCATTAAATATACATTCTGTTCGAACCCACCAGGTTATGTTAGGTCTGAAGTTCGGAGTAGAAATGATTTTTGTCCTCAGGTCAAGTCTTTGACGCGCGTTTGCTGCTCATTGCATTGTTATGTTTGAGGTCACTTGTTCTGTTCTTTCCAACCACGCCTTTCCACCTTTCAGTGACTGCCTCCGACATATGCATTAATATCGCGCTTTAAAATGATTGACTCCGTAGTCGGCACTTCGTGCAGAGCACATTCCACTTCCTCATGGAGGATCTCATTTTCCCCTCCAAATTTGGCGCATTGACCTGTAATTAGATCAACGCCTTAGCCTGTTGTAGTTTCATTCAGAGAATTGCGCTCTTCCACTGACAGGATTCTATTCAAAGGTTCTGGTAGACAGGTTGAGTCCTACCAGAATCCCACCAACACCAGCATGAGCGCGAATCATGGTGTCGACATCTGAATAGAATTGCTTCCACCTACACAAATTCAGGATTTGTGAGTCGTGAGGCTTTGTTGCGTCTAGTTAGTACCTTTCGGCCTCAACTAGCTCCCACTCTTTCCATCTTAGTGAGGATATATTTCAATTTTTGACTGTAGGCTCCCATTTATGGTGTCATTCCCGTCGAGCCTAACCTGACGTATACGCATTGTTTTCCTCCTCCATACAGAATAGGTAGCGACCCCATTGCTGATTCGTATCTTTGTCGTCGTTTCGTCTATCTTCGGTAGCCGTAATTGTGGTGCTACGCCCCCGGCTGTCAGAACGCAATGAGTTTCTGATTGCCGACTTTTCACTGCGTGCCTCAGTCCTCAAACAGTCTGCGCGGCTCTTGGTAACTCAGGCTACGGCCGAGTCCGTCTAACATTCGATAAAAGCAATACCATGAGGGACAATTGTCTGAGTTATGCGGAGACATCGCAGCTGTAATTCTATCTTTAATGAATAGAATTCAAAATAATATGTATCTGCATCTAGTAATCTCCTAAAGATGTGCTTTTCATTTTTCGTCGCTTGTCAGCCGCGCCTTTTATGTAAACTGTCTTTAAATTTCAGTTGTTTGTTAATTATCATGTTTTTATAATGCAGTAATGTTGATAATTTTTTATAACGGTATCCGTTTGTAGTGCTGCCGTTACCCCCGTTGTGGACTTGCACCCAGAGCGTCGAATTCGACAAGCTTACAACGCGTTTGAAGAAGAATATCTTCCTCGGCTTAAGGCAGAAAATCCGAATCTTCGCCTTTCCCAGTTGAAACAATTAATCAAAAAGGAATGGCAGAAGTCTCCAAAGAATCCTATGAATTATATGGCGCTGTGATGTTTTAGCGTTTATTTGGCTTTACTTTTTCTCTTTAAAAAAGTTTTTTCAATGAAGCTCGTTCATTTTCGTTCGTTTCGGTATTTTCTCCCTGCGGAATTTTAAAAATTTTTTGACTATTGGTTCTGTATGAAGATTTATTAGTTCTAATGGATTTCTTCTCTTCATTATCCTTAGAGGCTAGCAGCATAAACAGCAGATTCACTCAGATTAATGATGTCTGACGATTGGAATTTGGTTCTGTGAATGTGGTTCGACTAGCACGAAACCTTTCTTTTGAGTTAACTATAATAATTGGAGGTTGTCTCCTTGCCTTGAGTTTGATACGTTATATTTTCTTGGCATTATTTTTGTTTCTTCCAGTCTAAAGTCTCATTATGTGGTGAAAATATTATATGATAACATTTAGCTGTAGATATCTAAAATTTGGCGCTATTGCCAAGATATTACAGATGATAGCTTATTGTAGTGACGAACAATGCAATTCGTTTGCGGTTTATGTAAAGTGCTCCACTCAGTGGTCAGTCTCTCCTTTGATTTACACGAACCTACCTACTGTGAATGTTAAAATTGCCAAGGGACTAGCGGTTCCGATAAGATGACCAAAACTACCTGAGAAAACAAGCATCGCTTGTCGAATGACACCTGAGTTGGTTTCATAAAATCACTTTCTGACATAAAATCACATTCATAAATCATTTTCTGACGTACTTTGACTTTTCTACTTTCTTCTGCTGCACTACTACACTTAACTGTAGAAAACTGTATAGTGAGTCGTTTTTCTAGAGAATAAGAAAATCTCGGCCTCGTGAAAATTTAACACTCCCTCTTTCGTCGCCGTTGCTACGCGCGACCAAATGCACGTTATCGTGAAAGCAAATTAGTGTGGCGGTGTCATCTGCGTGCGACAGGTAACTCGCCGAACTTTCATTTGTACCTTTTCCATACCTCTGCTGATCCAGTGGTTAAAAGTTATAAACGCCGTCATGCATAGAAGACACCATTTCACTGTCGTGTTCGGATTTGACGACTTCCGGAAGCTGCTTATCTAATCCAAATTTATGAAATACTCCATAGCTTTGATCAAGGCACTCTTGTAACTGAGCACGTTCCTGCCGGTGCAGCAGAAATAAATCCACTCATTCCCAGCATATCTCAGATTTTGCGGTGTTGAAGATTTGATCCCCTATGCTCCGTCATCTTGCCATCAAGTCTGACAGTTTCATCCCTGAGAACAGCGGATCAGCAGCTAAATTTGCATGTCTATTGTAAAACTACCACGGTAAGTTCAGGGACTTATTCTATTAAAGTCGTTTGTAGTTGCGAAGCTCGAATTCGACAAGTTGTTCACCTTACCTATGTTATCCGCTGCTGCGTCGAAAGACTACCTCAATAATGATCAACAGAACGGCTTTGCTTTCTGCACTGCTGACCTAATGGGATCGTTTTACTGAAAGAATTAGCGTTGTCGAAAATGGAGCTGCTCTTTTTCTCAATTTTTAGAATGCCGAAGTTATCTCCTGCAAAAGTTCCTATATCAGAAAAATTTATCAAAAGCTGAATGCCGGTTTAATAATTTTATTTTATTTAATTTAGAAAGTAAATTAATGAGGTCGTATATGAATACGGCTTTTTATTCTGGTTGTTTGTGTATAGCAGAATTTGCCACTACGCCATTTCCAGTCTCAAGCCAGGATGAGAAAGAGGGTGGTTCGAGACCGTGACGATGACTACGTAGAACTTATCTACTTGTCCCTCATGATATTGTCGTCATCGAACGTTGTACCAGACCGGGTTACCAAAGGCTATGCAGGCTGTTCAGAGACTGAGGCACGCTGCGAAAAGTCGGCGACCAGAATCTGCCCATCGCTTTTTGGCAGCCTGAGGCATTGCAGCACAACAACGGCTGACGAAGATCGACGAAGCTACCAGTCAGCAACGGAGTTGCTACCTGTTCTGAACGGATGAGGCAGACAGCGCGATACCATTATAGCATGTC